GGCGAGCCCCACTCAGCTCCTCGCACAGGGGGTCCCTCCGGTGCCATGCCAGTGGGCAAACCAGTGCACGGGAGCCCTCCGAGAGAGCAGGACGAGGGGTCCGGCTGCAGCAATCCCCCAGCGGCGCCGGCCGTGCCCAGCGAGCTGCTCGTGGGCTGACGGTCCGGAGCCCATCCTCGGCATGGCAGCGCTCGGCCCTGCGCATGGGCTGGTTTTGGGTACACCCGGCCTCGAGCCTGGCTCGTGGGGGGTGAGTACTATAGGGTACGGATTGCCACCGGGTAAAGCAAGGACATGTGCTCGGCCCCCTTGATGGGCAGCTTGCGGCTGGCGTAGTGATGGATGATCTCCGGCACGCTGTCGAAGGGTGGGCTGTGCTGACCCAGCACGTACTTGTTCTCCTGGGTCCGGGACAGTTTCATGTGCATGAAACCCTGGCTGCTCCTGCAAGGGCAGATCAAGGTAGGGTTAGGGGGTGCAGCTGGCCCAAGCCTCCCCTCAGCTCCTGACCCCCTTACCTGAGACAGGCAGCCTGCCCCTGCAGCTGAGGGGGACACTGCTGGCTCCTGTCCCCATGCAGTGGGGTGTGTGGGATCCATGTGGGGGCAAGGACGGTGCCAAGGCTGGGGTAGGTGTGTGTGGGCAGGTAACTGAGGGCATCACCTGGGCAGGACCAACAGCAGCTCTCACTGCAGGCTGACACAGAGGTAGCAGCTTTCACCCTTTACATGTGGAAAAGTCCCTTTTGCAACTGCCCTGGCTCACACAGGACCCCTTCAGCTCACAGATCTCCAGCCTCACCGTGGCAAACCAGGATTTTCTCCTTCGGCCAGCAGCCGAAGGATTTTCTCCTTGCTCCCCCTCCCCACACCACTGCTGCAGGCTCCATAAAACCCGCTCAGCGTAGCGAGGCCATTTCCCGGCACAGCACGGGCACCGAGCCACACCAGGCTGTGCAGGCAGATCCTGCCATGAACACTGATTCCAAGTGATGGGCTAATGGCCCTGTTGCTATTAATTTGCGTCTCCGAGGAGAGCCACAGCCTGTCTGCAGCGTCTGGAATGCACATTACAGCAAAATATTGATGACTTAAAAGCAGACAGGGCCTCATCAGCGATGCTGAGCTGCTTCCAGCACTGCACAGCCCGGCCCCATCCCCCCGACTGGAGACGGGCCGTAATGGACAGCCTGGCTGCATTAGCAGGATGGGTTTGCAATCCATTTAGAGACAGAAGCAAGGAGCCAGCTGTCCCAGGGGATGGCAGAGGGGACAGCCACAGCCCCCCATCAGGGGCCGAGGAAAAGTGATAGCCTGGCCACATCCTGTGTCCCCAGCCAGAGCACTGCCACACGGACCACGGAGAGGTGATGTCGGTTGTGTTCTGCCCAAATCGCTCTGCAGGTCTTTGTCATGAGCTCAGGGATGTGGAAAGCACACCCCTGGAGAGAAGCGTGAGGGAACACTCTGCAAACCCCAGCAGACAGGGCAAGGGGCAAGTGCTGCTCCTGCCAAGCACCTTGGAGACCTGAGGAAGGACCCCACCTTTGCAGCGTGGCCTCAGCCATTCTCATGGAGGAACAAGCCAGGAGGAAATCATCCTCCAAGCATCTGAGGCAATGACATAACCCTGTCCATGACAGGCAGCGTGGGGCTGCCTAGCCTGAACCAGCCAAGACTGTCACAGCAGGGTTAAGTCCTTCTGGCTGCCTGACCTGCTCCTGCTGCTCTCTCTTATGCATATTTTTYYTTWAA